TTCAAACATCTTGTTCACGAGCCGTTGATAAGTGGCTCCGGTATTTTTCAACTCGAACGGCATCACATTGTAGTAATATATACCGAAATTCGTTATAAACAAAGTCTTTTCCTGATCCTCCGGGGTCATCTTAATTTGGTTGTACCTGGAATAAGCATCGAGGAAATGCATTAACTCGTGCCCGGCCGTGGCATCAATCATTTGATCAATGTTTGGCAGTGAGAACGAGTCATTCGGGCACACCTTGTTAAGATCTTTATAATCTACACACATGCGAAACTTATTGTTGTTCTTCGGAACTACTACTATATTGGCTAGCCAGTCTGGATATCTTACCTCTCAGATCGAACCGATATTAAGTAAGTGGGTTACCTCTTCTTTGACGAATTTATTCCTGACTTTGGCAATCGAGCATTTCTTTTGTCTTATCGGAGGTATGTTGGGATCCAAGTTTAACTTGTGTACGACTACCTCTATCGGGATGTCTGTCATATCCTCATGCGACTATGCAAAACAATCGACGTTAGATTTAAGGAATTTAATAAAGTCGGACCTGGGTTCTGGGTGCAGTCATGTCCCCAAGTGGAATTTCCTTTCTAGGAATTCTTCGAACAATGTCACTTGCTCCAGCTCTTCCGTTGTGGACTTCGTTGCATCGGTCTCTTCTGGAACTTGGAAATATCTCGGCACCTTATAATATTCTGACGCCTCTGCCCTCGGGCTAACTTCATCTAGTTCAGGAGTAGGTGTCGGTCCTTGTAATTGCTATGTCGCGTGTTCCTTTTCTTTGCTACTGGAGACCGAAATTGCATTCATCTCCCTTGCCGCCGCTAGATCTCCCCTTATCTGCTTAATTCCTTCGAGCGTTGGAAACTTCAGCAATTGATGATATGTTTATGGTACAGCTTTCATCTCGTGCAACCATGACTTTCCCAGAATGATGTTGTATCCCATATCACCATCTACCACTTCAAAAAGAGTTATTTTCATTACTCTTTCAGCGTTCGTGAGTAATAAAATTTCTCCCCGGGTTGTCACACTTGCGAGATTGAATCCGGCGAGGAGCTTTGTGGCCGTAATAATGCTTCCAGTGAGTTTAGCTTGCTCCAATACTCTCAATTGTATGATATTAGCCGAACTCCCTTGATCCACTAGAACACGTTTAATCTTAAAATCTAGCACATTTAAAGAAATTACCAGTGTGTCGTTGTGTGGTAGCAGCAATTCGTCTGTATCCTCCCCCGTAAAAGTGATATCGTCTTCCCGAAACCTTTTGATATGTGTTATTGATACTTTCATCTTCTTTGCTGCTGAAAAGGTGACCCCGTTAATCTCGTTCCCTCCGAAGACCATGTTGATTGTTTGACACGGGGAATCTTCTCCTGCTTTCGAGGGTTTCGCGTTGTCCCGGTTACGACCATAACTGTTCGCAGCTCGATCACTCAAGAATTCTCTGAGATGACCATTCTTCAATAATGTTGCCACTTCTTCCCGGAGGTGTCGACAGTCCCATGTCCGATGGCCATTCGTCCTGTGGTACTCACACCATAAGTTGGTATCCCTCTGGCTGAGATAAGATCTCATCGGTTTCGGGAACCGTGCTTCTTTGATGTTTCTCATAGCCGACACCAACTCCACTATACTATCGTTGAAGTTGTATTCTGATAACTTGGGATAAGAAGGATCCCGTGACCTTGATGTTTTTTTATCCTGCAGTGATTGATTGTTCCGACCGCGATCAGTTCTCCTGTCAATGGCGAACCTGTCCGCTGTCTGGAAACCTCTGCTGCGGCCTTTGGTCCGTTTGTAGGGCAAAAACCGACCCCTCGAAGTCCGTCTGTACATGTCATAATCATTCTTTGATTTTTATCTGTTCTTTTCTCGTCCTTTGGTCGACGACGAAAAATCAACCTGATCATCTTCGATCCTTATTTTTGATTCGTACCGGTTGTGAACATCCGCAAAGGTCGTTGCTTGAAACTCGAGTTGGCTTTCCTTCAATTTTCAGGAAGCGTCTGAACTCCTCGGATTCAATCCCTTGGTGAATGCTTCAGCCGCCCATTCATCCGGGACAGCCGGGAGCAATATTCTCTCCTTATGGAATCGGGTAATGAACTCTCGTAGTAGCTCGAACTCTCCTTGCGCAATCCTGAATATGTCGGCCTTTCGGGCCTGTACTTTTCTAGCCCTGGCATGAGCCTTGATAAAAGAATCCGCGAACATTTCAAAGGAATCTATTGAATGCTCGGGTAACAGCGAATACCACGTCAAGGCTCCTCTCGTGAGGATTTTTCCAAATTTCTTTAGCAACACAGATTCAATTTCGTGAGGAGCTAAATCATTTCCCTTTTACCGCCGTTGTGTAGGTGGTAATATGCTCCTGAGGGTCTAAAGTTCTGTCATACTTTGGCACTTCAGACATTTTGAACCGCTTCGGGATTAACTCTGGTGCTGCACTTGGCTTGTATGGAAATCGAGTATACTTTTTCGAGTCTAGACCTTTCAACACTGGTGGCGCGCCCGGGATCTGGTCCATACGGGCGTTCACTTCCCTCATAAACCGTAAAAGTTCATTCTTGAAAGGATCATTCTCATTATTGAGGCCGGATCCGCTCCCCCCCTCCCCCATTGGAGCCAATTTCACCCCTGGAAGTGTTGTTGACGACCCTCTGCGTTGTTTGATTCGCGGGAGCCCCGGGAGAAATCAGATCTTGTTTGTTTGCATTATTTGAAGCTCCTGACAGCGCTTGTTTCATCATAACCTTTTTCTATCGCGTGAGGTGGCCTAGAATGATCGCATATTGCTCTTGCAAGACCCTTACCGCGTTAACAACATGTTCCTCATCAGCATCATCGGGAGTTGTCTCTCAAACATGTCGAGGATATTGCCTGTCATGCACCGGTGTGGCGCCATTTCTCTCTTTGTGGGTGTCACTAATTGAGTCCTCGAAATGAGGTTGATCCCTCTGAATCTCGGGGTTGTGCATGTTATTAACATTGTTATATGCCATTTCTTATGATTTTTTAAGACAAAATAATCAAAACACGTTAGTAAAAAAGGCAAGGATCAATTTAATTGCACGACTGTCTAGGCCCCACGGTGGACGCCAAACTGTTTACCTGTAAAACGGTACAGTTGAATTTATACGTGTTTTCTAGACAAATGAATTAATTTGATCCTGAAATAATAAAATAATCGAAGAATTATGCAATACTTAGCCTTAGAATGTTGACGAAACAGTAGAAGCAACAGTTCCGGGAACAGGGTTTCCGGGCACAACAACAACGAAATCAAAAAGTACGAAGATAAAATGGTATTAAGCTTTGTATAGAATGTAACATAAATTTGCCAGAAAATTTGTGTCATCTACAATGATAACGGAGCTCACTATTTATACCTATGGCTAGGGAATGAGGTCCTAGGATCGTGCCCTTCTTTAATGTTAATTATGAGGGACATTGATGAAGATGTAACGATGAACATAAATGCCAAATTCCTTGTAACGGGTAATTGCTCTTAATGCCATGGAATATTCTCTATTAAATACTACCGGGCAAAGAGCATTTATCACATCTTTATGAGCGTTACTCTTTCCGGTGACAAACGAAACAGTTGTCTTCGATCTTTGGTCATCCCCGTCTTGGATTTCACGTGTCCCTTTTTTGGATGGACACGTGTCATAACATATTTTACCCTATACACTTATATCAAGCTTTAGGCTCACCCATTGGCTCAAGTAATTACATGGTTACTAAGTACTTGTAAATACTTGTGAATGAAAAACTCGCTAAAGACTGTGATTGGCTGATAGTTTCAGAATGCGCTTTTGTAACTGCTTAGAATGTTGTGTGACGTCTGCGATTTTGATTTTGTAAATTATGGCGAATAAAAAAATTGGCGAGTAGGGCATTCCTCCACCATTAACTAGAGTTTTCAAGCCCTTAGTGTGCCCTATACCTATACATTGTGAAATTGGATTAGGCGAACCAGTAGTTTTGATGATACAGGAGACATAAAGCCAAAAAAATGGAATTTTGACAATCATGGTTAAACCTATTTTAGGTTCCAAGATCAAGATTCGTGTTTTGTCTGCGAGTTCGAGGTCATTCTGTGAGTCATACACGAATACTAAAAATCTTGATGCAGGAGTAAGTCAACTCATGTTAGAGTTGACATTTGGAGGATAAGTAGTAAACTTTGAAATTATCGGTCGAGCAAGGAAGTAAGCTTTTCATGTTTACCATATAAGCTTGTTTTCCTCGAAATCTCAACTAAACAAAGATTACTTAGTTTATTCTATACCTCAATCGAAAGTCGGTAATATTGGAACTTCTCGAAGGACAAGAGCTACTAATGCTTTGAGAAAGAAGAAATACTTTTTAAACTTGCAGTCTTATTTCTTTAACTCTAAAATAATATCGTAAAGGTTTAACTCTAAAATAATATCGTAAAGTTGTGAATGAGAAATTTTAAAATTAAATTGTTTTTTGATATAGAAAGATGTCAGTTTTTTAACATTAGACTAAAACGGAAATAGTGTGACATAGTATGAAACACCAAAAGCATATTACACGTTTGCCTCCATATGTAAAGGATGGGGGAAAGGACAAAAATGCCTCCCAAAAATTTATCTTCCGTTATTTAAGTATTTAAATTTCATGACTCACTAGACTATCGGATGAAAAGTTCCTTAGTCTATTGAGCCTATGTCTTTTTTGAATCTGTCTGTTAACATCCTGCTGATAGTTCCAATGGTCTTCTGCTTTGTTACAACCAAACATGGAGGACATATTTCCCAGATGGAATACTCCAAGAACTATTAGAATCTTCCTTTCTACTATCAGTAACCTTCTTCATGAAAAGTTTGTCTCATTATATGTACCATTCTACTTTTGAAGAACTATATCTCTGTTCCAAATTGCTTTTTCAAGAAACGAAAATGGACTTGATCAGTTTTGGAACAGGGTGTTTTCCCCTAATTTTTGTATTGATAATTACCATGTGCAATCTTTCAGGCAACACCCTTTTCCTTTTTCTTTCTACCTTCATTTTGTTTCTAGTTTGCAAATTAGTGAACACTTTACTTACTTTTTCCTTGATTACAGATTGTTATGACCCTCTGGATCCCAATGGAAATATTGCAGTTACATATGACATTGTTAAATGGACAGATGATGGTTATCAGGTCAGAAGAATAACACATCATTCTAATATCTACTTCCTTTTTTTGACAGCCAATGCAAGAGATATTACATATAATTATAAATGAGTTTATACATAGCTTTAAGATACAAACAGCAGCACAAATAGACAGAGATTATATAAGCGCAAAAGCATGATCACTTACCAAATGGGACTTCAACTGTATGTGTATCCTTTTCTTTACCAAATATTACACACTATCTCAAACTCAAGACAGGCCACGGTGTAACTCCAGCCGCTGGCAACTGTGGCCGAATCAAAGGAACTCGCTTCACAATGGAGAATGCTTCGTTAAGGCGTGCAACACGGGTCATGAATTGAGATACTTTCTTGTCATCCACAGTTACTTTCAGCTCTAATGCCTTAGTCTTTTTCTTCAGCTTATACAATCTACGACCCAAAATAACTAATCCCAATACAGCTGCAGCTACAGAAAGTGTCCACACAGGGCTAACCCTAAATGCACAAAACTTTAGAAGTTCAATTGGCACCTTCCACCACACAACGCTCCTCGTCTGTTCCCCTGTTTTCCTCTGTTCTGCTACTTCAGTTATTTCATTCTTCTTTTCACCTTCAGCCTCTCCATTTTCCGGTTTTTTTCCATTTTCACTTTTTATCTCTTCATTTCCTTGGAAACACAGTTCATCTCTACCCTCATATTCACCGAATTTTCGTGTTTCGGACTGTTCACTGCCGGAGTCCGACCAGGACTCGCCGGAATTTTTCATGGTAAATCGGTTCTCTGAACCGGGATCAATCCAACTCGGATTATCCGATTCTTCAGAAACCTCATCGCTTCCATCAGCGCAAGTAAAAGCACTCATGTGCCTGCTCTGAGAATCTATGGAGAAGTAATTGACCTGAAATATACCGCCCGTCTCTGATCCAATTTCATCGTCGAGGCAGTTCGTGTTTCCTCCGGCTGATCCGCCGGCAGTAATTAACGATTCCGAGTCAGAGTTGGGGTTCAAGTGAAGCATCTCCCAATCTTGAAACTCGGCTGCCTCAACATCCATGGCACGCACGATCAAACCCTAAATTAGGAAACGACACTATACACAGAGAAAGAGAAAGAGAGAGAAGGGGGTTTTGAATAGAATCAACTACTTTTGGATTGGGGGTTTACCTCTGGAAACGACACCTCACCCCATGGCCCCCAATATCTACTTCTTTAATTGTGCATTTTTATCTACTTGACGTGTGGATAAGTTTTTATGTGTATTCTATAGTTTTTGACCCATCACCATAATGCATTTAGTTTTTGACCTTCTTCTTTGGTTACATGTCTGCGTTATTCTGTAGAATTACTTGGAAGGCAAAAAGTACTCAGCAAGTGTAACTAGATGATGTGTGTGTGTGACAAACCACAAAAAATTCAACAAAATATCCAATTTTAAACCCATAATTACAAAAGTATACAGTATTAAGTGTTGGGTTTTAGCTAGTTATAGCTTAAACTAGGGTGAATGAAAAATGGAGAAAAAAATAAAATATTTAAATTTTCCTCTTTAAAAAAGGGACATTGTCCCATATTGGAGGAGGAAAATAATTTTGATGCGTATATATACAATTGCTCGTCTTTTAGACCTTAAAGAGTTGAGAAAAAAGCAAGCCTCGCGTCGTCGTCGCTAGCTCGGCTTTAGATTCGAATAATGATCTGATTGATTAATTTTTTGGACTAAATTTATTATTTAATATTAAGATTTACATAATATTATTTTAATCCAAAGCTATGGTTAACGTAATATTAACGTAATTTGCTACCGATCATTTGTGTTCACTGAAACACTGGGGTTTGAAATACGGCTATACCAGTATGTAATCCGTTCTATCCTGGAAGGAAAGAATCCATAACCTCGGGTACTTGGAGGGGATTAAGTTCCTTAAAGAAACACTGCGAATTCAGTGTGCTCAGATTAATATCTGCTTCTTCTATATTTCTGTTTTTACGCTATTTTCTATTTCCAGAATTACTTTACAAATACAGTATACTAACATTAGGGGTCGTTTGGTAGGGTGTATAAGAGTAATGCTGAATAAGATGTATTAATACTGCAGGGATTAGTAATGCATGGGTTAGTAATGCAAGCATTAGCTATGCAAAGACTATTTCTTATCCGTTGTTTGGTATGGTGTATTAAAATTAAAAACAATTGCATAATTTTTAAGAAATTTATTTGTTTACAAAAATGCCCTCCATATTATTTAGTTTTAAGGGACTTTAAGGATATTTTTGTCTTTAACCATGCTAATGCATGCATTAATAGCTTTGGGATTGCTAATACCATGGTTTGCTATGCATTAGTTATACATAAGATAATACCAAATAGGGTGTATAACTAATGTTTGTATTAGTTGTACATATATTGAAAAAGTGTATCAAACAAGATTTTACTGATACACAAAGTTAATGCATGCATTATTTTCTCTAATGCACTCTACCAAATGACCTCTAAGTGTTAAGGCTTTAAAGGTTGAGACCCCAAAATTTAAGTTTTGAATTAGCCTGTGGTATTATAGACTTTCTATGGGGCAACGGGCACAATATGTGAGCAAAAAATTGCTCGGGGAGATATATTGGTGATGGAAAATGGAGAAGTATTTTGTGGTAGAATGGATAAACTTAATTAGGTCATTGTGTGCTACATAGAAGTAATTGCAAAATCCAGCTGCGACCTGTGTATTAGATTGATTTAAATTCCTTAGCACCAGAAGTACCGAGTTCATAATTTAGACAACTTGAACAATGTTCATAGCTTAGGTCATTTGACTTTTGATTTATGACTTAAAGAGTATATATTATCTTCTAGCAACTTAAATAGTTAAACAACACAGCTAGTGTAGTTTCATAGAAGCCAAAGCTTATAAAGGTAGAGTCATTTGGTTTATATTCTTCGCACTCTAATTTGACTATAATGCTTCAGGCAAGGATAACCATTCAAAATTACTATCAGTATAGACATATCGAGAAACCAGGCTGGCAATTAGGGTGGACATGGGCTGGTAATGAGGTTATTTGGTCAATGTCTGGTGCTTTTGCCACCAAACAAGGGAATTGTTCAACCTTCAAGTCTGAAATTCCACATTGTTGCAAGAAAGATCCTATTATTGTTGATCTCGCCCCAGAAGCTCCACCAGAAAAAAGATCAGATGGTTGCTGTCACGGTGGATTTCTTGCTGCCTCGGCTATTAATCCTTCCAATTCTTTCGTATCCTTTGAGATGAAAGTTGGAAACTTGAGGGGCAATTATACAGCTCACAAGCCTTTAAATCTCACACTAATGGCTCCAGGACTTGGTTATACTTGTGATGACTTTGTGGACACTGATCCAACGATATCTTCGGTTATAGAAGGCAAAAGACAAGAACAAGTTATCAGTAAGTACTCCATTCGGAACCTTATACTAAACCTTTAGCTTGCAGGAAGTGTTATTCCCGTCAATATTCCTGTATTTGTAAATATTAATTCTGCAAAATATAAGTTAACGTAATGAAACAATAATAATAAATTCGAGCCCACTGAATTCACAGTGTTTCCTTAAGGAATTTAATCCCCTCCTAGTACCCAAGGTAATGGATTATTTCCTCCCAGGATAGAACGAATAACACACTGGTGTAGCGGTACTTCAAACCCCAGTGTTTCGGCGAACACAAAGTTCGGTAGCAAATCACACTTACAGTTGCTTTGTTTGAAGTTAAAAAACAATGCAGAACGAAGGAGTATATACTCAGAAAAACGTATGGAAGTTCTGAGAGGAAGGAGTGCAATGTATAGCCAATTTGTTGAGCGAATTGTATGTTGAGTTGAGTATCTTTCTTCAACATTTGCTGCTCATATATATAGCAGCCAAGAAGGAGTGCAAGACCAAACGTCCACCCTTCATGGTGGAGCAAGCATTACATGTTTGTGGAGCAAGCATTTCATGTTTGTGGAGCAAGCACTTCATGGTGGGAAGACCATTATCCGGCTGCCAAATTATCAATACACGGATTGGAAAATATCCGTTTACAAATACGGATAATCTTACGTTAATATTTACTATTAACAAATAAATTTGGTCCAAAAAATTAATCAATCAATCGTTTGACCAAATCCGAAGCCGAAGCCGTAGCCGAGCGAGCGACGGCGCGATGCTTGCTTTCTTCTTAACTCTTTAAGAGCTACAAGAAGAGCAATTATATATATACCCACCAAAAATGTCTTCCACTTCCAATATGGGACAATGTCTCATTGTTAAGAGGGGGAAACTTAAAATTTTACTCAAAATTTCATTTTCCCTCCATTTCCCATTCACCCTCATTTTAAGAATATTACATCTTAAAAAATAAAACCTCAACAGGAAGAAAATTTGAATTTGAGAGACCTTCCTTAAGAGTTTCACTTTTACTGTGTTCGCTGTAAAACGTTGGATTGGCATCACTAAATCGCTTTTCTTCTTTGTTACTTACATTACTTTTAGGGACATGGAAATCAACATGTACATACTCAACTTTCTTGGCCAACAGATCGCCAACCTGTTGTGTTTCTCTTTCAACATTTTACAATCCTGAGGTTACACCATGCCGTTTGTGTAGCTGTGGATGTAAATTAGCTGACAATGAAGCAAAATCATGCATTAGGTCTGAAATACTGCAATTTCGCCCAATTTTTATGACATTCTTAACTCCATAAATGTGCATAGTTTATTGATTTTGTTGTGGTTAATATATGTGGAACAGACAAAGTTCATCGTCTGAGCGCGAGCTAGTTCAGTGCACTGATCATATGTGTCCACTTCGAGTTCACTGGCACATTAAGAAGAACTACAGGAATTATTGGAGGGTGAAACTGACCATTTCCAATTACAACTTAGGTAAAAACTATTCCAACTGGAATGTGGTAGTCCAACATCCTGGTTTTAGCCAGCAATCAACTGTCTTCAGCTTCAACAATACAGTGCTCCCAACTGTTGGTGTCCCAGGTATTATTATCTCATGCTACAAAACCATTTTCCTCCATATTTATACTATCAGTATATATAACTTAAATCCTTTCTCTTACTGCATGTTTGCATTCCTTGTTCTTAGTTTCTTGACGATAGATCATCTTGGACTTCAATGATTCTACTCTTTTAAGCATTTCTTTTTAAGGAGCTTTTCGTTCATATAGCACAATTTTGATGCAATGCGCATTTGTGATCTGTGAAATCAGGATAAAGACATCCCTCCTTTTGCCCTTAATTACTATATTAAGGTTGTTTTTCATTTGTTCATATATGATTAATGCAGATGAAGTTGCACTCTTCTGGGGTTTAGATTTCTACAACGATGCGTTGTTGCAAGCTGAAGAAAAGCAAGTAGGATCTGTGATGACAGAGATACTTTTACTTAAGGACATGAACTCATTTACACTTAGTAATGGATGGGCTTTTCCAAGAAGAGTATATTTCAATGGTGAGAACTGTGAAATGCCCCTTCCAGATACTTTCCCTATGCTTCCAAATGGTTGCTCAAAGAAAAATCCTTATAGAAGCCATCTTTCTCTTCTAGTCTTGCTTTATTTGACTTACAAAACACTTTAATTTTTGGTCCAAGATCAAAATTTTGCAACTTCCTCCTTAAGATTACCTTTGCCCCACCTCATGAGAATCAGCTCCATCGCTTCTATTTGCTGCAATATAGTGTTGAGGTTTTTTTTTTATTTATTTAAGATGAAATAGTCTTAAAATGAGGGTGATTGGGAAATGGAGGGAAAATGAAATTTTTGAGTAAAATTTTAAGTTTCCCCCTCTTGACAATGAGACATTGTCCCATATTGAAAGAGAAAAAGATTTTTGGTGGGTATATATATAATTGCTCTTCTTGTAGCTCTTAAAGAGTTAAGAAGAAAGCAAGCCTCGCGACGTCGTCGTCGTCGCTCGCTCGGCTTCGGATTTGGATTTGGTCAAATGATTGATTGATTAATTTTTTGGACTAAATTTATTTGTTAATAGTAAATATTAACGTAAGATTATCCGCATTTGTAATGGATATATTCCAATCCGTGTATTGACCACCAGCTGCAATAGCAGCCGCCTAATGCTCTTCCCACCATGGCCAAGTGCTTGCTCCACAAACAAGCTAGTGCATGCTCCACCATGGAGGGTGGAGGGTCGTTCATCTTCAATGCTGACTGCTATAAATATTTGCAGCAGCTGTTGAAGAAAGATACGAAAAACCAACAAAACTGAAAACGCTCAACTTTGGCTATACATTGCACTCCTTCCTCTCAGCATTTCCATACGATTTTTTGAGTTTCTACTCCTTTGTTCTGCATTGTTTTAACTTCAAACAAAGCAACTGTAAGTGTGATTTGCTACCGAACTTTGTGTTCGCTGAAACACTGGGGTTTGAAGTACCGCTACACCAGTGTGTGATTCGTTCTATCCTGAGAGGAAATAATCCATAACCTTAGGTACTAGGAGGGGATTAAATACCTTAAGGAAACACTGTGAATTCAGTGGGCTCGAATTAATTACTGTTTCATTACGATAACTTATATTTTCCAGAATTATTATTTACAAATACAGCAATATTAGCGGGACTAACAATATTAAGGAATTTAATATTTATTTCTGTATTTGTGTTATTCTTATTATTCTGCAAACTAAAACCTTTGTGGTTTTGTGTACTCCCGTTTTGGAGAGTAAAGCCTTCGTGGCGTTTTGTTGGAGATTAAAATCTACGTGATTTTTACTCCGGTTTGAAAACGTTTATTAAACATTTGTTTGTGTCATTCTTTTACAGAAAAAAAAATGACGACTGAAAGCGAAAACCAAGCTGTTCCGACGGTAACTGCCAACGCATCGACAAGCCGAACACCGACGTTGGCACCGGCAGAAAAACCCGAAAATTTTTTCCGGAATTGATTTCAAGCGCTGGCAGCAGAAGATATTCTTCTACTTAACTACGTTATTTCTACAGAAGTTCATCAAGGAAGATGTTCCTGATCTTCCAGATAAAACTTCAGAGAATGAACGCTTTGTCGTGATTGAAGCGTGGAAGCATTCTGATTTTTTATGCAAGAATTATATTCTTAGCGGACTGGATGATAATCTATATAATGTATACAGTGGCGTGGAGACGTCAAAAGAATTGTGGAATGCGCTTGAAAAGAAATATAAAACTGAAGATGCCGGGATGAAGAAATTCGTTGCCGCAAAATTTTTGGACTACAAAATGGTAGATAGCAAGTCTGTTATTACCCAAGTCCAGGAATTGCAAGTGATTATTCATGATCTACTTGCTGAAGGTCTTGTCATCAATGAAGCATTCCAAGTAGCAGCAATGATTGAGAAGTTGCCTCCGTTGTGGAAGGACTTCAAAAATTATTTGAAACACAAACGAAAGAAAATGTCCCTTGAAGATCTCATTGTTCGGTTGAGAATCGAAGAGGACAATAAAGCTGCTGAAAGGAGAGGCCGTGGAAATTCAACAATAATGGGAGCAAATATTGTTGAAGATAACAAAAAGAGGAAGAAGGCTTCTGGTCCGAAATACAACCCAAGCAAGAAGCGGTTCAGTGGAAACTGCTACAACTATGGGAAAATCGGACACAAATCTACGGAGTGTCATGCTCCGAAGAAAGACAAGAAAAAGGGTCAAGCAAATATGGTAGTAAAGCATGATGATATTGATAACTTGTGTGTCATGCTTTCTGAATATAAGTTGGTGGGAAATCTTAAACAATGGTAGTTTGATTCTGGAGCCACTCGCCATGTTTGTGCAGTTAGAGAAGCTTTTGCTACTTATGCTCCTGCTGGACCCGGAGAGACAGTTTATATGGGAAATGCTTCAACAGCAAAAGTTGAAGGATATGGGAAGATATTTCTGAAAATGACTTCTGTCAAGGTCATGACTTTGAACAATGTCCTTCATGTTCCCGAAATGAGAAAGAATTTAGTCACTACTGGACTTCTTGTTAAGAACGGTTTTAAGTGCGTTTTTGTGTCCGACAAGGTTGTCATAGGTAAGAATGAAATATTTGTAGGAAAAGGTTACCTCACCGAGGGCCTTTTCAATCTGAATGTAATGGTTGTGGAAAA